GGGGGGGGGGGGGGGGGGGTCTGGTAGTTTTAAAGTTGTCTAAGAGAAAATGATTTGTTTTTGATAAGAGCGCCCTTCACGGCGGGGCATTTCGGAGGACTTTACACGCGATAAGAGACTTACATCTCATCTATACAGATCTTTTTTCAGAAGCGACATGGCCACAGATGAAAGCCCAGCAAAGTGGCAAAAGTGGCTAACCGTGTGGACATTTATATCAGCCAAATAATCCAGACGCACGTTGCTAAATATGGAGGGAAAAACCGAACGACCCGGAGAAAAATCCACACGACCACGGGGAGAACACGCAAACTCCAAATACACAGGCATCATGGTCGGGATCGAACCCACGACCTCCTGTATACCAGGCGAGGGAGCTAACATCTCGCCACCGCAGCGTCCGCACTAGTCTTGCTCATCACAGGTACAACGGACAGATCCCTATGTGTGCCTATGTATACATAGTGTCAGTTGCCTATATATGTGTCTCTCTCTATATATATAGTCTCAGTCGGTAGTGCAGTGGGGGGTTCGTGTCCTGAGGAGGCGGGGGTTGCCCACCGGGGAGAGGGGAGGATGTCCAGGGAGGATGTCCAGCACGGCGCACGATGGACATCCGAGATGAGAACAGCCCCAAGCTCATGAGTGCACGAGGGGGGGGGGGCGCTACGCCTTTAATATACAAGGGGGGGGGGGGCGGTCTACTGAAGACAGTGATGTTGAATCGCGAACTAAACGGTGGAAACTTGACAATGCATCGATTCGTAAATAGGTGTTCTCAAGACACGCGCACAGAATTGCACGTAGAAGAATTATAACATGGGACCTTTCTTACCAGGAGCACAAAAGGGAAATTTGTGGATGTGTCTGTTCGAAATGTTTAGCATACTTCCCAACATGCTACAAACTTTAAATGTGGCATGTGGGTAGCTTCCATACTGTACACAATGTATAAAGTATAATAATAGACTTTTGTATTTGGGGGGGGGGGGATGACCATGAAGTGTGTCGTCAACCCGCAGCAAAAACTCTCCAACGCCGAGCTCTGACATCATGACATTTGCACAGCTTATGCCGTCTGGAATTTCTAAGTGAACGCGACTATGTTCAGCTCTTCCACGCCATTCCCTTCGCGAGTTGTCAAAATCACACGTTGTCTTTCGGGTAACGCAAAGAACCATGCAACATCATCTATATATATATGAAAGGGAAATTTGTGAATATGTGTGTCTGTTCGAAATGTTTAGCATACTTGCCGACATGCAACACGCTTGAAATTGAGCAGTGACGTCACATCTGTGATGTCACCCGCATGCGGCAGCGTCACGCAGTGTGCCTGCTGACGTCACGCATCCCCCCCCCCCCCACCCTCCACGTAGGCTGTGTATTAATCCAAGACAAGAATCCAAGTCTCGGGCGAAGCTGGGTAGTAAAGCTAGTTAACTATATTCGTTTATTGAATAAACTTAAAACGAGGACTAAACTATTAATTCCCGTGCGAAGAACGGGTACAACTGCTAGTCTCATATATGTAGTGGAATAAATATGCGCATGGGGGTAAATGGTGAGATCGCGTGGGGGCAGGACAGTATGGGTCATATTGGGACAGCCAGGTGCGATGGTTGGGCCGATGAGTTAATGATTAGGCCAATTAAGCTAGGGAGCCAGAGACGGCTGTGATTGGCTGGTGTTGTTGTCAGGGCTGAAGTGTGATTGGCTGGTGTTGTTGTCAGGGCTGAAGTGGCGTCTTAATGTCTGGGCAAGTAACAGGTGCACGGGCACGGGGACACGGACGCGGGTTAATTAATTGGGGAATAATGAGAGCGGGGATAAATTGGAGAGACGCGAGGAGAGAGCGGAGTTGGATTCGGGGACTGGACGAAGCAAGACGTGGAGCGGAGCTGAAGTTAAGCAGCCAGCAGTGGAGAGAGGAAAGCGGAGCTGAAGTGAAGACAGCCAGCAGTGGAGAGAGCACAGTGATAGCAGAGAGCGGAGAGCGGAGATGAAGCAGCCAGCAGTGGAGAAAGCACAGTGATAGTGGAGAGCAGAGATGAAGCAGCCAGTAGTGGAGAGAGCACAGTGATAGTGGAGATAACGGGGAAGCAGTGATCGTGGAGATAACGGGGAAGCAGTGACAGTGGAGCTGACGGAGAAGCAGAGATTGGAGAGACAAAGACGGCGAGCGAGCCGAGTGAAGCACGGCGAGCGAGCTGTGGCAACAAGGGAACTGTGGAGCATTGAGGACATGTGGAGAACTGTAAATAAAGTGGTGTTGGAAGAAAGACAAAAGTTGTCCGAGTGAAATCAACCACTACATATATGTTCAATACACCAAACGGAAACCTTTTGCAAGGAATCGTATCTGCATTAATCACACACAGTACTTGTGGTGAACATGCAAACAAAAACACGCTCTGGTCATATACCGAAACTGATTGGTCTACAGCAGAGACAGCATTTTTTTAGGGCCTGGTCTCACAACCAGTGTTCGACCAGAGACTGCCTTGAGGCAGCCTGCAGGGCAGCGCAAGGTGGCAGCCTTGAGGCGTCCTCTGGTCTCACACTATTTGAGACTAGGCTCTAAAGAAGGCTGTCTCTGGTGTGGACCAATCAGTTTCAAAGACAATGCATATATTACCAGAGCATGCCTCATGTTTGCATGTTCACCAGGGGAGGAGCCAGGATTTTGACTTTGGGGGGGGCTGACTTCAATATTCTGAGATGTCCAGTGTTTATGTTTTTCAGTGGGCGCCACAAATGTATAAAACAAATTTTATTGGATTGAAACGCGGAGTTTATTAATAGGTCGGAGCCGCTGATGTGGCTAATAAGTTCAAAAGGTTGCCGCTCAAGCAGCCTGCAGGGCAGCACAAGGTGGCAGCCTGCAGGGCAGCACACAAGGTGGCAGCTTGCAGGGCAGCACACAAGGTGGCAGCCTGCAGGGCAGCACACAAGGTGGCAGCCTGCAGGGCAGCACACAAGGTGGCAGCTTGCAGGGCAGCACACAAGGTGGCAGCCTGCAGGGCAGCACACAAGGTGGCAGCCTGCAGGGCAGCACACAAGGTGGCAGCCTGCAGGGCAGCACACAAGGTGGCAGCCTGCAGGGCAGCAGCACAAGGTGGCAGCCTGCAGGGCAGCACGAGGTGGCAGCCTGCAGGGCAGCACGAGGTGGCAGCCTGCAGGGCAGCACACAAGGTGGCAGCCTGCAGGGCAGCACGAGGTGGCAGCCTGCAGCAATTTGCAGCAGCCGGATATCCGGTTATCCCGATTACCGACTTTCCCAAAATTTCAGGGGGGGCTGAGCCCCCCCCAGCTCCCCCTGTGGCTCCGCCCCTGATGTTCACCACAAGTGTGTGTGTGGTTAATGCAGACAGGATTCCTTGCAAATGGTTTCTGTTTGGTGTTTGAACATCTTAACACAATTGTTTTATTGCCAGAAAGGGTAAAACCTATTCTTAGAAGCATTAAATACGAGCTTTGTGCTCTTAGGAAGTAAACGATATTCTAATGTTATCGTGGGCTTCATGGGGTGAATATAACTTTACAAACGTGACACGGAGAGTAGGAATCGAGGGAATTCGTCAAACTGCTGGGGAGCTGCATCGTCCCATTCCTACAAACGACTCAAGACCGTCCTCTCGCAATCTGAAGACCGGAATAGCAATGGCGCAGCGAGCGGGTACACGCTCACGCAGACAAACCAAAACGTCTGATAACAAAAACACATTAGTACAGAGGCAGACAACTAATTACCCATACCGCTCTACGATTATGGCTTTTATGTAGTCCTTTTGCCAATATTATATGGTAATCTGGTAACCGAGCAGGATTGGTTAACCAGCCTGACGCTTCTGATGAGACTCAGCAGGTTGAATACTGGTCCACCGCGTGCTGCTTGAACTCATGGTGGTGGTCAGGATTGGTCTAAAAGGTCGATCGGCCGTTTTACTGATTAATTTCACTTCTATGTGAAGGCACGGGATGGATTTTTGCTTATATTTGCATTTCCCACAATGCTCCGCAAAACACAAAACAAGATTTCATACTGATTGCGTGGCAGGCCATGTGTGTGTGTGTGCGTACGTGAGGAGTGTGTATGGGCGGCGTGCGTTTTTATTTGTCTTTCGGGTGTGTGTGGCGGCCTTCATTGGTGCTCGCTAACAGCACTTGCCCCAACGGTCTGTTAACGCTTTTCGGGGGATCTTTGTCTTTGTGGGGGGTGTGTGTGCGTGTGTGTGTGTGTGCATATGTGTGTGTGTGCAGATGTGTGTGTGCAGATGTGTGTGTGCATATGTGTGTTGTGGGGAGCGATAGTGTAGCGGTTAGCGCGCTGCGCTATGAACCTGGCGACCCGGGTTCGATTCCCGCTCACGGCCAACACCAGTGACGAATATCTGAACCGGTCCCGGGCCTCCCCTAGGTCGACTCAGCCTCAAATGAGTACCTGGTGCGGTGTGTAAACATCGCCATTAGGGAGACAAAGGCGGTCGGGCGTGGTGCTGGCCACCCACCCCCTCGTGTACCGTTCCGGCCTTCATAGGTGCTCGCTAACAGCACTTGCCCCTACAGTCTATTACAGGCTATATGGGGGATCTTTGTCTTTGTCTTTGTGTGCGTGTGTGTGTACAGGGAACGGTGGTGGAGTGGGTAGCGCACTGCGCTACTAACCTGGCAACCCGGGTTAAATTTCCGCTCACGGCCAACACCAGTGACGATTATTTGAACTGGTCCTGGGCCCCCCTAGGTCGACTCAGCCTCAAATGAGTACCCGGTGCAGTGTGTAAACATCGCCACTGGGGAGACAAAGGCGGTCGGGCGTGGTGCTGGCCACTCTACCTCTCACGTGCCGAGCCGGCCTTCATAGGTGCTCGCTAACAACACTTGCCCCAGCAGTTTGTTAAGGCTATACGGGGGAGCTTTGTCTTTAGTGGGGTGTGTGTGTGCATGTATGAGTGTGGGATGCGTGCGTGCGTGCGTGCGCGTGTGGGTGAGGGCGGCACCATCTCGCGGAAGGCGTTCTCGATGGCTCCCACCACGAGCGCGTCCTGCGTCACCTCCTTCTCCGGCAGGGCCTTGGAGGGGGTGGTGGGGGCCGGGGAGCCCTGGGCGGGCCCCGCACGCAGGCTCTGGGCCCGGGTCGCCCCTCCGGCCGCCGCCGCCGCCGCCGCCGCCGCGGGCCCTCGGCGCGCGCGGCCCTCGGCCTCGTCGTTGAGGCACGCGGGGGGGCAGCCCGTGCCGCTGCGCAGCACCTGGAGGGGGCGGCAGCCGTCACCTCTCGGTAGCGCCGCGGGAGGGCCGCGGCAGGCAGCCGGCGAGCAGCCAAATAATCAAAAAAACGAATGTTGATACTAAATGTGGAGGGAAAAGCTGAAGGAACTAGGGGAAAAATCCACGCGACCACGGGGAGAACACGCAAACTCCAAATACACAGCAGCAGGCGTCAGGGTCAGAATCGAACCCACGACCTCCTCCACACGAGGGCGAGGGAGTTAACACCTCCTAGCCACTCGGCGCCCACATTGAAGGGCTCATCTCAATGGATCACACAGTTAAGAGCGACATTTTCTGCACGAATTTGGCAAAGGACTTGTAGGACAGCGTAAAAATGTGAGTGCATGAGAACGCAGGCCTGGGTGAGCCTGTGTTTAACAAATACCTATGTGAGCCTGTGTTTAACACAGCCTGTGTGTTTAATGTGCTGTATGTTCTACAATTGTTTTGTTTCACAAGTGCTGCACGTCATAACAACGAATCAAAAAATTAAAAGGGGAAAAAAGTTGCTTTATGTTGTTGTGCTCTTATTGATATTGTTTTCCTGTTATGAGATTGTTTTGCTACGTGACATTTAAAATACTGCTCACACAGCATTCGGATGCCGTGAAGGTTACATTCTCAAATGGTCTTCTCACGTTTGCTCGTGATGTCCGTGACGCGGACGATGTCCTTTGATTTAAACTAAATTTCCATATACTCCTCAAGGTCTACGTGCTGCCGACGCTTGTGAGGAGCACCACACAGGCCAGCATCTTGACTCGTGCGACGCAGCTTGATGGCGCGTGACGCCTAATGGGCACGCGCGTGTAATCTGATAAGATTTACCTTTCTGACAATGTCACTTAGCCATCCGCTAACGACACTGGGGGGGGGGGAGTGCGATTTGTGGCGCTCCCGAGGGAATGACACTTCCTCGCCGATGCAGTTTGCGCGGCAATTACCCGGCACCCAAAACGTGATCACGTTTTATTAAGAGCCAGCGCGCTTGTGGTAAGCACGGACCGCTGGCGGAACAATTTATCAGCTTCTGCAAATAGCGATCTCGCACTGCTCCTCGTGTTTCAATTTGAACTGTTTTTTTTTTATTTCGTTTCCATCTGCAGCCAGTGAAGGGGGGGACCCGGGGGAGGGGGTGGTGCTGGCGAAGCCGTGCCCACAGAGGAGCGTGCCGAGAGGGCCACCCGGCCAGGTCACAGGTCAAGGTTGACGCTCATTAATTTCTCTTCAAACCCCCTACTCTACGAGGAATTAGGGGGGAGCGGGGGGGGGGGTGCATGGCTCACAAGAGGGGGAATACCGTGCGGAGGCAACGAGCCAGCGATGCCGAGATCCTGGGTGGGTGCCACAGAGGCGCCACGGCGGCGAGATGTTAACTACCTCGCCTGGTATACAGGAGTTCGTGGGTTCGATCCCGACCCTGACGCCTGTATACTGTATTTGGAGTTTGCATGTTCTCCCCGTGGTTGCGTGGATTTTTCTCCCAGGTCTTCCGGTTTTCCCCTCCACATGCAGAATAAAAATCAACTGTTAAGAGTTTTTGGCTGCTATAAATGTTCACATGATGAGCCACTTCGTTGAGCTATCATTTGTGGCCAGGTCACTACTGTAAACGAAGCTAATAGCTCAGTGGACTTTACCTGGTGAAATGAAAAATAGTTCAGTTTTACTTTGTAGATTTGTTTGGTCATTTGTTTATCTTTCCTATACTCCCTGCACTCCTATCGTGCTTTTGTGTTGTTTGCTGTCGTAACGTTCTTACACAGACCCTACTGGACATCTGTGAAAAAGAGCTTTATAGCTCATCAGATTTCTCCGTTATAAATACATATTCTGAATCGGTATTCAGTTGATGTTCTCAGCCTTATCACCAATATAATTGTTCCCAAAAACCCAATAATTAGTTGAGATTTTTCACTGCCATTTTCCCCATTCAGCGAGTCGCGGTGTTCCCCGAATCACCGCAACCGTCTCGTGCAGAGTGATCGTGCAGAAGCGGATTCCTCCAGATGGATTCTGTCGAACGCAAACCACGACCGCCTCTCGCCACCGTACCTCCACGATGCCTTGCAGCTGCCTGGCCACGTGGTGGTGGAGAAGGCTGGCTGCCATGACGGCCGCCCCAGGGCCCGCGTGGCCGTCAAACATGCCCCAGTAGATGAAGGTGATGCCGTCGTCATCCTGCGCAGATGGGAGAGCGGACGGCATCACCACACGGCCACACAATGGCCACACGGCTACACGACCACACAACGGCCACACAACGGCCACACAACGGCCACACAATGCCCACATGACCACACAACGCCCACACGACCACACAACGGCCACATGGCCACACAACGGCCACACGGCCACACAATGCCCACATGACCACACAATGCCCACATGACCACACAATGCCCACATGACCACACAACGCCCACATGACCACACAATGCCCACATGACCACACAACGCCCACATTACCACACAATGCCCACACGACCACACAACGCCCACATGACCACACAATGCCCACATGACCACAATGCCCACACGACCACACAACGCCCACACGACCACACAATGCCCACACGACCACACAATGCCCACACGACCACACAATGCCCACATGACCACACAACGCCCACATGACCACACAATGCCCACATGACCACACAATGCCCACATGACCACACAACGCCCACATGACCACACAATGCCCACATGACCACACAATGCCCACATGACCACACAATGCCCACATGACCACACAATGCCCACATGACCACACAATGCCCACATGACCACACAATGCCCACATGACCACACAATGCCCACATGACCACACAATGCCCACATGACCACACAATGCCCACACGACCACACAATGCCCACACGACCACACAACGTCCACACGACCACACAATGCCCACACGACCACACAATGCCCACACGACCACACAATGCCCACATGACCATACGGCCACACGACTACACAACGGACACACGGCCACACGCGCACGTACCGAGCTCAGGCCACAGGTCACAAGCCGGGGCTTTTAACCCCCATTAACCCCGTCTCACGGGAGCGAGCCTATCTATCTGCCACAAGGAACGTAAGCCGTGCGTCTCCATGAGACACACATTTCTGTAGCCGGCCAAACAGCGTGGTCCCCCCCCCATCGTCTGCTATCTTCTCCCTTACCCACTGGCTTGGCGGCTGACTACAGGAGGGGCTCATTTTGGACAACACCAATGTAGGTATCTAATTGCGAAATGTAGTCATGAGCATTGCTGCCCAACTCACCTGCCAGCCTTAACAATAACAAACAGCACGGTAAGCATCATTGGACCTCCTTTGCCAGTACCAAAATATAATAATAGGGTTTTTCCCCTTTTTTCTGGGAACAAAACTGAAACCTTTTTTTACAAGGGTTCATGTCTGCATTAACCACAATACTTGCAGTCAAAATGCAAACAAAAGACACACTGATAATATATGCATTGTCCTTGAAACTGATTAGTCCACACCAGAGACAGCTTTCTTTAGAGATGGCGTCATCTGGTCTAGCACCAATTTAGACTAGGCTCTAAAGAAAGCTGTCTCTGGTGTGGACCAATCAGTTTCAAGGACAATGCATATATTATCAGTGTGTTTTTTATTTGCATTTTGACTGCAAGTATTGTGGTTAATGTAGACATAAATCCTTGTAAAAAAGGTTTGTTTTGTTGCCAGAAGGGGGAAAAACCCTATTATTATAGCACGGTAAGCGCTTGTGCACCACGCGACAACTTAGTTTGTCCGGCTACGTCGGGTGGTGGAGGCTCTTTTGACACAAACTTGGCCGATTAGCAAGATTGGCTATGTACATTGATTATTCTATGCCCTACCGAAAATATCTATCATGAATCAATGTGGGCAAGGTTTGGTGGGGGTTAGTGCGGGCTATAGCTAATACTCACGATGTATGCATCTTCTTTCGTATGGATTAATTAGCAGCAGATTAAAGATGCCATTTTAGATGTTGTTATGCACTCAATTGTCTGTTCAGAAGCAGAGTGGATCTCGTCCGTTCCTCCTTTAAAGGAGTGAAGACAGCAGCTGTGAACAATGTGGTCGATCATTGGGGATTCGTGGCTGCACTCGCAGGCCGCCACATCTTTGATGCGTCATTTGCACATCAGGTGGCCGCATTGGCCACGTGGCCCCGTCCCGATTGGATTGATGGTCGACCATTGGCGGCGTGGAAGGTTGAAACCGGGGAGATTCGACAATCGGGTCCAGTACGAGACGTTAGTTTGCGATGTATGTACGTTGATCTTCTTTCGTAGCCAACCGCGCTAATCGGGGGAAGGCTTATGATGACGACGACGATGAGAACCGACGTTGAAACGCCACCCACCATGACGCCCTCCATGACCAGGTCGCCGTCCCCGTCGCGCGCCATCGTGGGGCTCTCCCTCCTCCAGGGCATGGCGGAGCGCAGCGCCGTCTGCTCGGCGCTGCGCTTCACGAACACCACCTCGCACACTGCCTGGTCCTCGTTCAGGGGACTCTTGCCCGCATTGATGACCCTGCACTCCGCACAGACAGTGGCAATGATCCAACCCTCCCGTATAGGCTGTTGGGGGCAAGAGATGCTCTCGAGCGGCGTCTAGGAAGGCCGGCACGGCACACGAGTGGGTGGGCGGCAAGCACAATGCCCGACCACCTTTGTCTCCCGAGTGGCGATGTTTACACACCGCACCGGATACTCTATTCAGGCCGAATCAACCTTGCGGAGGCCCAGGACCAGTTCAAATCGTGACATACACACACATGGTCATCATCGTGATACTCATCATCGTCAGCCATGGGCAAACCACTGCTGGATGAAGGCCCTACCAAGCCACTGCTCTATCTTCCGATCCTACCAAGTAATAATTCACCAACCGCCTTGCCCACGAGATGATTTCATCGCTCCATCTCTAAGGATGCCTACCGTCGCTGTCTGAACCACCCGAGGACACACTTGTGCTTATTCCCTTGTCTAGAGTGATTCACAAGTTTACAGTGGTCAAGCTTTTTATATTGCCGCGTTTTCATATTGTTCAGATCATTGGATTGTGATACTTCTGCAATTTGATCATACCCATTGAAATGTGAATGCAATGGCAAGAAAACAATTACTCCTGAGCCTATGCACTACGATACACCACTGTTTCTAACACTACGCCCACCGATTTTAGCGACCGGATGCCCAATGGGCTCATGTGATCAGCATGTGATCACTGCAGAGCACTGAGAAACGGGAGGTCCTTTGGCAGGCCTTCGCCAGCAGTGGACAGACGACGGATGATGACTTTGAGATCTCACTATTAATCGTACGTGTGTAAAGGCCACGGTTCAACGCTGGTAAGCTGTACCACGGGACAATACAACGAGGTATCAGAGTACACGGCCGGGGTTAGGTTCCGTGTGCTCCCGCGCAAGTTTGGGTTTGACTATACGAGCGTAGATATAGAATGTAACCTTACACTACTATATACTACGACTATATTACTATACACTGCTATATACTACTACGATATTACTATATACTGCTATATACTACTATATTACGATACACTACTATATACTGCTACTATATTACGTCTTCACACACAGCGTCTCCGCACACAGCGTCTCCGCACACAGGGTCTTCGCACTCAGCGACTCCGCACACAGCGTCTTCGCACACAGCATCTCCGCACACAGCGTCTTCGCACTCAGCGACTCTACAAACAGCAACTTCGCATCTCCACCACTGCCCTCGCCTATGCTCCCTCAGACCCGCTCACCCGTCTGTCCCGGGCGGCGGGGTTCGGCCAACTCCCGCCCGGTGACGGCGTGAGGGTTGAGGTCCCGTTGATGGCTGGAGCAGCAGCGGCGAGATGTCTTCACTCTTGGTTCCCGGTAACCACTCCCTCGCTCACACACATCCCCGCTTATATCCCCCTGCTCATCCCGAGTCCTCAAGTGCTTTCACTTAGGCTGCTGCCAGGCCGCCGCAGGTCATTCCCATTAATCTCTTAACATCACCCCCCATCTCCCGTCTCCTAGGCGCCAACCTCCGGTCACAACGTAGCACCTGTTTGACCTCGGTTGCACCCGCTTCTCCCCTTAACTACTGTCAGTTTGTCGGTGAAAACCTCATATTGCTAACGCGCACACCTGTTTGCCCTCCGTTGCACCCGGAGGGCAAACAGGTGTAGATATACATTCTATATATACACATTATATACTGCTATATTGCTATACGAGTGGATATATACTATATAAAATGTATATAAATGTACATAAATGTTTAAGACATTACAGTACTGTGCGGTAAATTAACTAATAATCGGTAACATCCAGGCCAGATAGAACACTATGATTAACACTATATTATTAATACTAGATATTGTTTTGGACTCGTTTCTTGCATGGCGATGCGGTTACAACGACGGCAATTCCACGTTTGTGTGATGGCGGGGGGGTGATTCGACTCCTCACTTCCCGCCCCGTGCTTGGAGCAAACGTCTGAGTCATGAAGGAGAAAGGATGAATCGGGGGGGGGAGTCGGTCGCGAATGAGCGAGTACGCGTACTGTAAGTCCGCGTACTCTAAGCCCGCGTACTCTAAGTCCGCGTACTGTGAGCCTGCGTACTGTGAGCCCGCGTACTGTGAGCCTGCGTACTGTGAGCCCGCGTACTGTAAGCCCACGTACTGTGAGCCAGCGTACTCTAAGCCCGCGTACTGTGAGCCCGCGTACTGTGAGTCCGCGTACTCTAAGCCCACGTACTGTGAGCCCGCGTACTGTAAGCCCACGTACTGTGAGCCCGCTTACTGTGAGCCCGCGTACTCTAAGCCCGCGTACTGTGAGCCCGCGTACTGTGAGTCCGCGTACTCTAAGCCCGCGTACTGTGAGCCCACGTACTGTAAGCCCGCGCACTGTGAGCCCACGTACTCTAAGCCCGCGTACTGTAAGCCCACGTACTGTAAGCCCGCGTACTGTGAGCCCGCGTACTCTAAGCCCGCGTACTCTAAGCCCGCGTACTGTGAGCCCGCGTACTGTAAGCCCGCGTACTCTAAGCCCGCGTACTCTAAGCCCGCGTACTGTGAGCCCGCGTACTGAGTCCGCGTACTCTAAGCCCGCGTACTGTGAGCCCGCGTACTGTGAGCCCGCGTACTCCGAGACCTTACTGAATGCAGCAACGTCAAAACAGAAACGTTGTTGCAGTAGCGCCCAACGCTCCTGCACTGAGTCCGACTCCCACAAGTGCACCGGAGATCATCGGAGTGCAAAGCAGATGTGAGAGAGGCCGCCAGTTATCATGGCAATGCGCCAAATCTGTCCCCGTGTCCATTGGCTTTGACATAAAATTGTGAAAGATTGACGCTCTTTACAAACCCGCTGCTGTCCACGTCTACCCGAAGAGAAATACAATATTACTGGCCTCTCACGCAGTAAAAAAAAAATAACTGTTCGAACATTCCCAGGCACCCATGCAAGACAAATATTATTGTTCACACAAATGAATCGAGTTAAAATTAAGCGCGTGCGCGCGCGCGCGATGTGACACAGCTTCACACGCCTCGACAGAGATAAACACGACCCACACTTGGTCGAGCAGAGAGAAGGCACCTTCTCAGTGTGCGAGAGCATCACAAAACAAAACCCGAGGCACTTTTAGATATTTTAGGACAACACGCCCCAAAATAGCATTTCTTCACAGCTACAACAAGCGAGTAATTGGTTCAAAGCAGGTCACGTAACTGTGTGTGCAACATTGACGCAACACGTCTTGTGCGCATGACTAAGGTACCATGATTCGTGCCGCAGATGTTAACCACCTCGCCTGGCATGCAGGAGGTCGTGGGTTCGAACCCAACCCTGAAACCTGCTGTGTATTTGGAGTTTGCATGTTCTCCCCGTGGTCGCGTGGATTTTTTCTCCGGGTCCTCCGGTCTTTTCCCTCCATATTTAGAAACATGCGTCACACCAGGTATTCATTTGAGGCTGAGTCGACCTAGGGGAGGCCCAGGACCGGCTCAGGCAATAGTCACTTGGCGTTGGCCGTGAGCGGGAATGGAACTCGGGTCGCCAAGCTCAGAGCGCAACGCGCTAACCGCTACAGGTGCAGGCGCGTGCGTGCACATATCAGGTGCATCCACACAGAGACGCGGGCGCACACTCAGGCCCAACAACAAGAGCCAATTTTGCTGTACGGAATGGATTTTACACTCCCCATTGCAGTAATTATCACTCGGGTCCTACCAACGGAAGTGGCTGATTTCTGGGCGCACGCTCGGCACCGCTGCCCTCTCGAGCAGCCTGCCGCACTCCAGGGGCACTCTGTGGCGGCCCTTGCAACATCGGCCAATCCATTAAAAAAACTGCCGTTCAAATGGGACGGCTGCCACGGCTGGTGGCGCGAACAGTCCGGCCCACTTGTCGGCCCCCGGCACGCACTCTCAAAAACCAATACGCGTGCGCATCCACATTATCTACTTACACGGGCGGATCACGATGAATGGAGGTAATGAGCTACTGCTTGTACAAGCCTGCTATCTCCGTGCTTCTACTAAGTGCATGCGTATACAGGATTGTATATGGGGAGCTGGTCGTGTGGCGGTTAGCGCACCGCGCTACAAACCCGGTGACCCGAGTTCGATTCTTGCTTGCGGCCAACACCAGTGACGATTATCTGAACCGATTCTGGGACTCCCCTAGGTCGACTCGGCCTCAAATGAGCACCTGGTGCGATGTGTAAACGTCGCCACTTGGTAGACGAAAGTGGCCGGGCGTGGTGCTGGCCACCCACCCCATCGTGCTTCGTGCCGGCCTTCACAGGTGCTACTCGCTAACAGCACTTGCCCCAACAGTCTGTTAAGGCTACACGTGGGATGTTTGGCTTTGGGGGGCGGTGACATTGCCAGGTGATGGCGCATTCGCCACTTGTTGCAGGGGCTCGCGGGTTGAATGCGGCAGGCTGCCCTGGTTATTACTGCAGTGGTGCGTCTGCTTTGCAGTGGACATTAAACTGAAAAAAATATTTTTATTTTACCAGCTATATAGCTTTTTTTCAGAAGGGACCTGGCCACAAATTCATAGCTTAACAAAGTGGCTCACCGCATAGAAATTTATAGCAGCAAAATACTCTGAATGGACGTCGATTCTAAATGTGCAGGGAAAAACCGGACGACTCGGAGAAAAATCCACGCGACCACGGAGAGAGAGACATGCAAACTCCGAATATACAGCAGGTGTCAGAGTCGGGATCAAACCCACGACCCTCCTGTATACCAGGTGAGGGAGATAACATCTCGCCACTGCGGTGCCCCACACTAGCAGGGTAGTGTGTGCCAGTGTCATGGTCCAACTTTTCCAAATTCGAAAAATGAACCTCTGTATATCACACAAAGCAACTGTGCCCCCTTACTGGCAGGCAAATGCCCACCCGCAGGCCAGCGCTGAGGTCACCTTAGATGAGCCATCTCACAATCACAATAACCTTAGGTGGAATTCAGTATGGCTTATTCCGAATAAAATAAAGGAGAAACATATATA